GTTAAAGAATATATTTTGAAAACCTTTCAAATGCATTTTATTTTAAACATATTTTCCCTCAGCTCAACACCTTACATTTTTAGCATTAAATACAAGTCAGGCGAGTCAGTGTCACCTTTTTCGTAACTCATATGCAACAAATTTGGCATTTGACTGTATTAAAAATGCATTAGACTCCCGGCACACGGCACATGACATGAGCTTAGGTTTAGGTTTAATTCAATTAAATAATGTGGAGCAGCTGTCCTGCGATCGTCATCCGACCAGGCCACACAGGCATCTAATTAAAATAATGATATCCCCTTCTCCGGGTTCTGCGGCCTGTTTTCCGCAGGAAATATTTGCGGGGCGTGGCGATTGCCTTGGACACTGCAAGGACCCGGGACCGGACCCAAATCCGAGGTCGGAGCCGGAGTTTCCGGCCAAGAAAGAGCGGCGGCGGCATCAGGGCGTAACGAAATGCGCATAAAACAGGGAGAATTTACAGCCAGAGTCCTTCTTAATGTGCCATGGCGAACCGCAGGACACTGCCTGCCAGAAATCAGACACCAGTCGCAGGAGGAGCTGCCTTTCTGGGCGGCTTTTGGCCTCATTTTGAGCGTTTATTCATTGTGCCTTTTAAGAGCTTCCGTTTCGTCACGCATAACGCTTTCGAACGACAATGACACGAACATCAAAATCATCAGCATTATCTGCACAGCCACACGGAACACGAAACACGGAGTCCGGGCTGTGGGCTGTGGACTACAGAGTCCGGCGTTTGGACTCCGGACCACGGCCTGGATAAGGGAGTTTCACTAGTTGAGAGTGTTCGTGGAGAGCTAGCAATCCAACTACAAAATGGAGCAGGACCCAGAGAGCTTGGCTGGGTCAGTGATGGCGATTTAAGCTCTCTTTGCTATCATTTTTATAGCCTTGCAGGGTATTCTAATTTGGTCATAAGCCTGTGAAGGAGTTATTTCCATCAACAGCCGATTCGATCTAGCCATCTTTAGCAGAAAAAGATTTTTAACAATTTTTCATAATTTTAGAAAGGTTTACAAAACATGCACATACTTAAATATTTCAATTTTAAATTGAGTAAGAATATTTACCAACGCTTTAAAGCTTTCAGATTTGAAATGAATTCATTTTGATTTAGGTATGATCGATCCCAATTTGATTAAATGATCCAAATGCAAACAGCAAGGTTATACAAACTTCGTCTCACCCGAAGTTAGTTTCTTTTTGGCTTTTAATATAAATAAAAGAAATCTGCAGATTTACTGTATATTTTCGCACTAAACTAGAATTAAAAGAAATTACTATTGCCTTTTGTGTATATATTTACAAAATTTTAGTGATAATACTTAAATTATTTTATGTTTTTAGCATCTGAACTTTATCATTATCAACTTAACTTATCAAATATAAAAAAAAAACCTGTAAATTATTTCGGAATTTTTCAAGACCCTTTATACAACAAATGGGCTTTATCATGTTACAGGCTTTGGTGTTTTTATTTGTTTAAAAGCTTTTTGTCTAAAGTTGAAAAAATTTTTAATATTTATTTTGATATTTTATTAACTGTACCTTTATCAATTACTTTTCTAGTTTTATTTACATTACTTTCTTAGCTTTTTATTCCCGTTAAAGGGGAGTATCTGCCATCACTGACTTGAGGTTTTCACACCGCTCTCCTGCCCGCCCGCTAGTTTGGCCAATGAGTGAGGTGTTCCTGTCCGGCGCTCCTTGCCGCCTTGTGTCCTTGTCTGGCCATGTTTGACAACATCTAGGCAAAATGGCGTCGCCCGGCGTCGTCGACGTCGTTGAGGTCCTGCATGACATGGCGTATGCGTAACGTAGCGTTTACGAGCGTGTTTTTATCGCAATTGACATCATCCGAGGCGCTTGTAAACATTTGTGCATATTTTAATTTAATGCTAAGCACAACTATAAGCACATAAAATTTCATTGCACTCGCCCACTCGGCCAAGGCGTATAAATAGCAGACAGACGGACACATAAAGGGAGTTACGTTGGCATAAGCAAACAATTTATATAATTACCCGCACAGTCGCTGCGCTTAACTGATTGCTTTATTATTTTTTTCGAGTGTCATGTTTGCCGTTTTAATTCCGACAACAATACGGCAGCAGCATAAATATTTACGAAAAGCCTGAGCCCAAGTCCAGCTCGTCCCGCAAATCTCGTCCGCAGTAATAACCATAATGGCTGGCAAATAAAAAATGCTCGGCTTAAACACATGCAAATATTATGGTAAATAAATTTGTTCACATCATCAACACATTTACTGCGCACTGGCAACTTAATTACACATGTAAACAATTGAATCAATAGCACAATAAAAACCACGGGCGCCGAGCACCATCTGCTGCTGATTGGTCTCGGCCAAATAGTTGGCGAAGAGGTATTGCCAATGATTACGGTCAGAATCCTCACCCCAATTCGAAAGCCACACTCGGAGGGCACAAATCACAGTCAAAGTGAAACATTTTGGTTTGCAATTAGTTGACAATATTATCAAAGGTAAAGGACATGATATTAAATGTAATTTACACACTTCAAGGGATAAAGCAAGGTTTAAAGGTTAGTAATTTAATATTTAAAACCAAACTAAAATGATTTGTATACTTACTTGACTCCTAAGTATTTAAACATTTAATCTATGAAATGTTTATTTAAACATTTGAGCTTCTCTTATTATGTTTCAAACACACACCATATAATTCTATGTACCAAAGTTTGAAACCCCTTGAAAGTTATCGTGGCGAATTCAACTGAAAATGGCAACGTTTTTAATGTCACTCGAAGTGAAGTTAAATGAGCAGTGGCTGCCAGCGGATTTTTGTAATTGCCACTTGTCGTGTAAATAAAACGAGTGCCACTGTCACATGTCACATCCTTTTGGCATTCACTCGCTATACCTGCATATATTACTGCTCGCACTTTTTCCGCACTTTCAAGTGGCGCATGTTCAAGCGTTTTTTCGTCAGGTGCAATGACGCACAATATGCAGCTCTCAAAAATGTCCCAATAAATGCGAGTGGAAGTGGCAATGTTGCAACATGAATGATTCTCTGCGATGCTCGACTATAAATAAACTCTTTATGCTGGCATTAATAAATAAAAGAGCGCCGGCACAAGCCGGGTCGGGCCACTAATCACTGCACTGATTTATTCGAATTGGCTGTGGAATTTATGACAAGATTTGCCAATGCCACCACCTCCCAATCCGTGGCTAATTTTAAATGGAAATGTATATTGCTTCGCCCCCTGACCGCAAACAAATCAACTCAAGTGTATCGAAATGACTTTCGGCTGCTTCTCCCCATCATCATGATGATGATCATTGTCCTATTATACCATCGTATGGCATCTAGCCTCGTTTCAGTGTGCCAAAGGCTGTGACATTTCATTCGCCGGCAATTAGAAGTCAATTTCACGCGTCGCTCTCGCAGCGAAACCATAAATTAGGTCCGACACTTGTCCGGCTGAATGCGACTTAAACGGCTCAAGGTATTATTACCACCCAGTTTATATTGTGCAGGGAATAGGAAAAGAATATAATGCCCCGGCGACGCATTCCATTCGCTTCTCAGTTGAATTTAGAGCACTATAAAACATTTAAAGAATGTGTTAGTACTTCTTGTACTTATTCAAATATTAGCAAATTGACTCAGAAAGAATATCTGTAAACACAAAATTATACAAATTATTTATTATTATTTTATATCTTGAGTATTTGAGACGTGAGCCGGAAACTGGGAGAGAGAGCTAGAGATGTAGAGGAGGGAAACGGAACTCGAACAGGATGCCAACACCTTTGGAATCCGGTTAAGGGAGAAATAAGATATACTGACGGCTTTTAAGAAGGATGCAACGACTTGGTTATGATGTCAAGGTGCAGCCGTTGGTTTATCAAATCTATCCCACTTCGTGGTTATTTTCCAGGAAACTGACTTGGTAAATGATGGGGGCTTTGGCTCGTCAAAACTATTGACTATTGAAAATCATTCGAATCTATTACTCTGCGACAAACATGCATAAATTAGAAACCATGATTGCATTTTACCCAAATAAGACATCCATCGACTAAGCCATCAATCATATTAACTTTGAATTTCTGACAAGATGCCAAATCGTTGGCTTTGCAAAACCATATTCCACATGCATTGGAGAAATCAATAAGCTGGCAAAAGCGCAAGGCAAATCCTCAAACGTGCCAAAAGTCAAGTGATATAAAACGGAAGTCGCATTCGATGGCGGAGACATTTGATAGCCACCGGATCATTTTTCACTTCATTCCAAAGCCGGCAAAAGCGTAATTTATGATGGGAAATTCCTAAGACGAGGCAGCAGGCGATAAATTTACAGTTTGCAAAACGTTATTAATTGCTAATTACCTCCGAGCATGATTAATGCCCGCCTGGTCTTCCAGTCTCGTTCATCACCATATTGGGCACCTCCATTGATTGGGACCCTACACAGAGCCATAATATGTCACAAAACAACAGTTTATAAATTATTTGAATAAAATATTATGTATAAAAGATGTTATATTTAGGAAAAAAGGAAAGTAACTAAATTTAATATTTTATCTTTAAAAATATTACAATAGAATGAATTTAAGATTAAATGAAAAGCTTTAGCTTGAAATCCCACTTGTGTGTGATAATGCATTAATTTTCCCCTTGTGTAAGGAAAAGCCATATCGGTGTTTCCGCTCGATCCGAGCGTCAGCCACGTGTGACTTTCTTTTGAGGGAACGGGGGTTAGGGACGAGAGTGAAACTGCCGTGTAATGTAATTATTGCAAAACTATTCATCATGTTTTGGGCACTGCCCCCGGCAAACAGCAGCCACTTAGATGCCGCGCCTGGGGTCTGTCAAACGGGGCGTATTCGCAATATGGCCCCGCAACTCACACTCAAACCCAGGGTGGAACCCAAACTCAGATTCAGACACAGGCCAACACTCACATGCGTGCGAGGTTAACTAATTAGCATGTCAAAGCCATCCATAATGCCATACTGAAGCAATTTCAAAGTGTGTTGTACCGCTTTAGAGAAATGCCAACCCAAAGGCGAAAATCCCGTTTAATTATGCTTTTATATTCATAATAATCCCCAACAATGTTTTTTAGCATAATGGAGACTGTGGCCCTTAAAGGACACACATCCCTCGAGTCTATCTGTTTTGATTAATCCTTTGTCAATGGCTCGGACTTACAGCGAGCAACTAATTTGTCCTCAATGGGAGCCAAGAAGGCGGTTGCTTTTGCTGTCATAAACTAAAACGACCAACACTGCACAATATTAAATTGTTTTAAATTTGTCAAGGACTTTACAGGACACGGACACGAGCTATAAAACAGGCTATAATTATGTGTAAAGTGTTGTTCACAGAAAATTCTAAGCCCGCAGTAATCTTGTCTTGGCCTGGCAATTATAAGTAATTTTAACTATTATGAAAATCTTAAGTCGCATTCTTAAGTTTATCTCCAGAAAGATTTAACATAATACCTCTAAATATACCTTTTACGTTTTAGGAAACACCAATTGCTTTTAGTTCAGTTTAGGTATATTTGTATTGTAATCCTGCTTTGGCTTTCGTTTAGAACTTGGATGTCGGTGCCTAGGCTGAAGTCCGTACACGTGATTCTTGTGCTCGTACACTCCCTTTTTACCCTTCTTGCGAACACATTTTCCTCCCCTTGAAAGGACTTCGTAAGGTCGGCAATGGCGTCCGGTCCTGAGTCTCCTGCCCGGCTGAATGTAGTCTTTTCGGGGTCGATTGTGAGCATTGATTGGGGGATCTTTGGAGGTGGCTTTCGGCTTATAGACCTTTTGTTTTCCTTCTGCATCACTATGAACAAATCCTCTTCTGTAATTAAGGTCCATAACGTGCTCCACTTTTAGGGTGCTGTGTTGCACTGGAACCCTAAGCTCATTCCGCGTTTTCTGAGACATGGCTTTCTCACAACCGAAGGGAGTCTTCACTTCTTCGGCCTTACAGTTGCTGACGTCCATTACACCGATTGGCTCCATTCCTTTGTCAAATCCTTCATTCTTCCTGGATCGCGTAATCACTCGATTCGGGAAAACATCCCGTTCGATGCAGCCATTTTCGGACAGCAATTCATGGGGCTGGCACAGTGAACCTCCAGCGGGGTATGAACCTGCAGCTCCGTTTAAGGATTGAGGTTTATTTCTTGGGGCTTTGGTTGCTATTGTAAAAGAAGTTTCTTTTGGAGAAACCGCCTTTTTGACGGATGGTGTGCCTAATGTTGTGACTGATGTTTTTTGCAAGCTGAGTGCAATGAAATACATAAATATAACAAGTCTGCATAGGCAGGAATTCATTCTGTAACTTTCAACCAGTCGCTATTTTTACAACTAAAATAATTTTAATTTTAATTTTAATAATTGCTAATGAAGTACAACGAATTGGGCCAACCAATCTATTCGTCTGGCTGTACCATGAAAGAATCTGTTGAAAACTTGTAGAAACTCGAGTTGTCAAAGAAATATGGTCTGTTCGAATTTTTTGCAAATCATTTACTTAATAGACGATGCTTTAGTTTATTAGGATTATCTTTTTATAAATTATTAGTCCATATTTTAAGAACAAGATAATTTAGCTGTGAATGTTTCTTGTCCTCATCCTTGCAATTTGCGAATGCATCGACGTTTCATTCCTTGAACCTCAAATAGTTTGCATTTTTCCCCTTGGGCAGTCTTCTCCCCGGCAGAAATTTGTACGTGAATGATCGATCTTTTCCCGTAACCGGGTGGTCTGAGTGTGAATCCTTTTTCGTCTCCTTGGCTGTTCCACCTGATCGTCAATATTGCTATATTTTTGCGGAGATCTGAGACCGCGACTTGAATGCACTACCGTGTTGTCACTGTTTAGAAGGCTGCTAACCACCGGAGCCCTAAGTTCATTCCGTGTTTTCTTAACCACGGATTTCTCACAACCGAATGGAGTTTTCACTTCGTCGACCTTGCACATGGTGATGTCCACCCCACCTCTATCGGAGTGTGGACCTGCAGCTTGGTGGGTGGATTGAGGTTCATTCTTTGGGACTTTGATTGTTCTTGGAGAAACAGTAGTTTCTGTGCCTGTTTTAATGTCAGCCTGAAGAGTTCTCTGAAATAAACTGAAGCAAATAATCAGCCAGCTTATTAAGCTTGTTTTCACCATTCCATGAAGCATTTAACTTCCGATCTTAATACAGACTAAAACGTAGTTTCACGGTTGTTACTAATTAGACATTTGTCACGATGATGATCTTAATGAATTTGCCGTGACCATCTATACTAATATACTTATTACTTAGAATGCAATTAATTTTAAAAATTTAGTTTAGCTTTGTTAAACTTGTTAGTTAATTGCAGAGCACTGACTGCGGTGGCTTTCCAAGTTGCTTTATTATGTATTATTAGTTAGCTGTCTAGTAATTCATCAATCGAAATATTTCGATTTTCTGAGTATAAAGGATCCAAATTTATGTAGTGACATTATTTTGAGGTAAATAACACAAGTAGGAGTCTCCTTCTTCTAGGTTCAATGGGGAAGGTTATTCCCCTCGGCGGCTTGTTGTTTCATTGTGCAATCTCAATTTCCCCCACAATAAAATTAATGTTTTACGTAGCCAATTCCGAATCGTTTATTTCACATAAAAATGCGATAAATAAGCGGCGCATCCTGTGCGACGCCGTCGAAGAAGACGGCAAGGATAAGCCGCCGCAGTTGCTGCTGCTGTTTTCTGTTTCTGCTGGTTGTGGGTGGTTATGTTGCCGTGGAGTGCGGTTCCTCTTCGTGTTTTATTTCACTCGCTGCGCACCTCCAGCATCGTGTATTTATAGCGCAAACAATGCAAAGGATGTTGTGCAAGGACATACGCGGCGGATTAAAGCGGAGCGGGGGCGGTGACGGGCACGGGCAATGCTGGCAGTGCGGCGGGAAACTATGAAGAGAGAGCGAGGACTTCCGAACAAAGCGACGCTTCTGCTTCTCGGTGGGTCTCGTCGTCTCTTTGACTCTGCCTGGTTAAAAATAAGGAGGAGCCACCACATCGAGACCAGGAGACAAAAGCTGCTTCAGCTCCTACGGCGCTGCTTATGTCCTGGCTCTGGTTACAACAACAACAACAACAGGGACTGAACTAAGAACTGATATCGAATCTAGGAGTACCCTTGTTGATCCCTCTTTATATAAAATTAAATTTTAAAGAAGTTTCAAGTATGAACATGTAGTTATTAAAATACTATTAATATAATAAATTATAATGGGGAATTGTCTGAAACATGCTTTTAAATTTAGATATATTATATAAATAAACGAATTACATATTTCTTCAGATATATCAAAATGTAGTTCTTGTACAGGTCTTAGTAAGCTTAGTAAGATAGGGTAAGACATCAACTACTACCAAGGAAGCTGTAAGCAAGAAAAAACGAGATGAAGTGGTGTTGTAAGTAAGAAAGGGGCGGCAACAATGGCGGCCACGTGACCCCGCCAAAATCCTGGCAACTCTGGCTCTCGTTTTGCGGCTGCTGTTAAAAATTTCATGTTAATGGCCACACGAAGATTCGCTCTTAACCCTTTTGCCCCGCGGTTGCGTGGGTGCCTCGTTTGCCTCCTGGATTGGGTGTCCGTGTATATCCGTATAAGTGTGTGGTGTTGTGTGTATGTTATCTGTGTGCTGGGATGTGGGCAAGTGTGCGTAACAGGTCATTGTCCCACCGTTTTTCGGTCGCACCTTTATGGCGAGGACAAGGCAGCTTATTTCCTTTGGCCGTCCTTTTTGCAAATTTCATTCCAAGCCCTGCACACGCAAGCGTCCTGCTCGCCATCCCTTTTCCGTGGAAAAGGAAATTGCTTTAATTAAGGATATTGCGAAATGTTTGCTCATATTTATAACCCCACGGTCGGCTGCGAAGGGTGGAAAGGTGAAAACTGAAAAGTAAAAACTAGAAAAAGGTGCGCAATCAAAGGCGGAAAATCGTTAGAGAATAAAATCGAAATAACAAAGCGGCCACAGGGAGAGATACGGAATAAAAAGGACAAAACAGAAAGGGACGCAGACAGACGCAAGACGAGGACATAATGCGCTTTCTCGCTAGTGGGTATGGTTTGTTTTCTCCCCAGCTCCTTTTTTTTCATTCCTTTTTTGCCGAAGGACCTGCGGACATTTCGGTTGCCTTCTGTTTTTCCAGAGGTCCTTTGACTATTTGCCATCTTGCCGGCTTCATTTGTTTGTGTTGGCTTGTCAGCGCTCAGCGTTCAGCGCTTTGGGTATTTCGCCAGG